TGATCTTAAATACAGATGGTCATGAGAATGAAGGAAAGCGTATCTCGAGTGGCACAGTCAGCGCGGTCAATGGATGTTGATGAATAATATCTCCTTTACTATTAGAGATGAGAATAACAGCTACTACACTTTGATCTTAGACAGATGGTCAGAGAATGAACGAAAGCGTATCTCGAGTGGCACAGTCAGCGCGGTCAATGGATGTTGATATGGATAATATCTCCTTTACTATTAGAGATGAGAATAACAGCTACTACACTTTGATCTTAGACAGATGGTCAGAGAATGAAGGAAAGCGTATCTCGAGTGGCACAGTCAGCGCGGTCAATGGATGTTGATATGGATAATATCTCCTTTACTATTAGATAGAATAACAGCTACTACTTTGATCTTAGATAGATGGTCAGAGAATGAACAAAAGCGTATCTCGAGTACAGCGCGGTCAATGGATGTTGATATGGATAATATCTCCTTTACTATTAGAGATGAGAATAACAGCTACTACACTTTGATCTTATGATGGTCAGAGAATGAAGGAAAGCGTATCTCGAGTGGCACAGTCAGCGCGGTCAATGGATGTTGGTATGGATAATATCTCCTTTACTATTAGAGATGAGAATAACTGCTACTACACTTTGATCTTAGACAGATGGTCAGAGAATGAAGGAAAGCGTATCTCGAGTGGCACAGTCAGCGCGGTCAATGGATGTTGATATGGATAATATCTCCTTTACTATTAGAGATGAGGGCAATAACAGCTACTACACTTTGATCTTAGACAGATGGTCAGAGAATGAAGGAAAGCGTATCTCGAGTGGCACAGTCAGCGCGGTCAATGGATGTTGGTATGGATAATATCTCCTTTACTATTAGAGATGAGAATAACAGCTACTACACTTTGATCTTAAATAAATGGTCAGAGAATGAACGAAAGCGTATCTCGAGTGGCACAGTCAGCGCGGTCAATGGATGTTGATATGGATAATATCTCCTTTACTATTAGAGATGAGAATAACAGCTACTACACTTTGATCTTAGACAGATGGTCAGAGAATGAAGGAAAGCGTATCTCGAGTGGCACAGTCAGCGCGGTCAATGGATGTTGAAGTGAATAATATCTCCTTTACTATTAGAGATGAGAATAACAGCTACTACACTTTGATCTTAGACAGATGGTCAGAGAATGAAGGAAAGCGTATCTCGAGTGGCACAGTCAGCGCGGTCAATGGATGTTGAAGTGAATAATATCTCCTTTACTATTTGAGATGAGAATAACAGCTACTACACTTTGATCTTAGACAGATGGTCAGAGAATGAAGGAAAGCTATCTCGAGTGGCACAGTCAGCGCGGTCAATGGATGTTGAAGTGAATAATATCTCCTTTACTATTAGAGATGAGAATAACAGCTACTACACTTTGATCTTAAATGGTCAGATGGTCTCGAGAGAATGGACGTTGAAAATAATATCTCCTTTACTATTAGTGATCTCGAGTGGCAGAGAATGAACGTCAGCGCGGTCAATGGATGTTGAAGTGAATAATATCTCCTTTACTATTAGAGATGAGAATAACAGCTACTACACTTTGATCTTAAATAGATGGTCAGAGAATGAACGAAAGCGTATCTCGAGTGGCACAGTCAGCGCGGTCAATGGATGTTGATATGGATAATATCTCCTTTACTATTAGAGATGAGAATAACAGCTACTACACTTTGATCTTAGACAGATGGTCAGAGAATGAAGGAAAGCGTATCTCGAGTGGCACAGTCAGCGCGGTCAATGGATGTTGATATGGATAATATCTCCTTTACTATTAGAGATGAGAATAACAGCTACTACACTTTGATCTTAGACAGATGGTCAGAGAATGAAGGAAAGCGTATCTCGAGTGGCACAGATCAGCGCGACAGTCAATGGATGTTGATATGGATAATATCTCCTTTACTATTAGAGATGAGAATAACAGCTACTACACTTTGATCTTAGATGGTCAGAGAATGAAGTCAGACAGTCAGAATGGATATTGATATGGATAATATCTCCTTTACTATTAGAGATGAGAATATCTCTTTGATCTTAAATAGATGGTCAGAGAATGAAGGAAAGCGTATCTCGAGTGGCACACTCAAATGGATGTTGATATGGATAATATCTCCTTTACTATTAGAGATGAGAATAACAGCTACTACACTTTGATCTTAAATAGATGGTCAGAGAATGAAGGAAAGCGTATCTCGAGTGGCACAGTCAGCGCGGTCAATGGATGTTGATATGGATAATATCTCCTTTACTATTAGAGATGAGAATAACAGCTACTACACTTTGATCTTAGACAGATGGTCAGAGAATGAAGGAAAGCGTATCTCGAGTGGCACAGTCAGCGCGGTCAATGGATGTTGATATGGATAATATCTCCTTTACTATTAGAGATGAGAATAACAGCTACTACACTTTGATCTTAGACAGATGGTCAGAGAATGAAGGAAAGCGTATCTCGAGTGGCACAGTCAGCGCGGTCAATGGATGTTGATATGGATAATATCTCCTTTACTATTAGAGATGAGAATAACAGCTACTATAGTTTGATCTTAGACAGATGGTCAGAGAATGAAGGAAAGCGTATCTCGAGTGGCACAGTCAGCGCGTTCAATGGATGTTGATATGGATAATATCTCCTTTACTATTAGAGATGAGAATAACAGCTACTACACTTTGATCTTAAACAGATGGTCAGAGAATGAAGGAATATCTCGATGTTGGCATAATATCTCCTTTACTATTAGAGATGAATCAATGGATCTTAAGACATCTCCTTTTGGATGTAAGTGGATAATATCCCTTTAGAGATGAGAATAAAGGATCTTTAGACAGATGGCCAGGGAATAAAGGAAAGCATTGCTTGGTCAATGAATGCCGAATGTTTCCTCATAAGGCAATGGAAAATCTTATAATTATCATTACTATCTCAGATCATGAATTATAAATAAGTTTAAGAGAATCAAGCCTTTAGTCCGTAAAGAGGATTATCCTTCATCAAATTTCATAAACTGGTACTACAGCATTACAAAGAACTTTGCCAAAAGTCAGAACATTACTCTAAGACTTCAAGCAGCATCAACAACTAAAATGAAACTCGAAGAGATAATCATGATATAATTAAGATGACTTTACAGCCAAACGTTTAGCGAAGCATCCATTTTCTTTCTTCTATGTGCCGCATACATTCAGGGCATAGGCGGTCATGGCGCGCCACAATTTCCTATCTCGAGTGGCTCCTGTTCCGTCATCTATTCACACGAGCTCATCAGGTAAATTGCTCGTTGCATTCTTTTATATCAATTGCCTTCAATATGCCCCGTGAGGATTAAGTTTTCCAAGCCTTCTTTCCTTATCATGTCTCCAAGGAATTTCATCTCTCTTTTCTTTATTCTCACTAAAGGTGTTCTTTCTCTTGTCATTTTCTTTAAGACTTCCTTGTTGCTTACTCGCTCCGTCCATGGAATTCTCAGTATCCTTCTGTAGAACCACATTTCAGTTGCTTCTAGTTTTTTTCTTCCTCATTCGTAAGAAGATTGGCCTACATTCACTGCCATATAAGTGAATTGGTATCCCATAATAACTTAACAGTATTTTCTTTGTTTCTAACAAAATTTTCCGTTTCTTGCTTAGTTTTTGGAAGGCATCTTTTGCTAGTTCAATGCGTGTTCAGAATTCGGTGCTGCATTTTCTATCCTCTGTTAAAACGCTTCCCTTCTTCTTTATGCGCCGTATCCTTCGGGACGTAAGCGATCATGGCTCTCCACAACTTCTTGCCCCCCCCTGTAACTCTTAATAAGCTTTGTCTTTCTGTTATTTCTCCTAAACCCTGTTCCGACATCCATTTGCTTTATTTGAGGACACATGGCACAGTGGATAAAGCCGTTGGTTAGATCCAGGAAGAGTTGTGAGTTCAATACCCGGTTAAGGCAGTGGAGAACTTGGAGAGGGGAATTAACAGGAGATAACTTATAACTGATATCCATTAAACATGGGACTTGGAACTAGAACAGTCTACCGCAGTGAGCGAAATAAAGGGTTCAGTTCGACATTCCAACTGCCAAAGGCCGGAGCGTACAATGGCAAAAACGTTATAATAAATATGGCGACAAAAATGAGGACAATAGTCCGAATAATGTAAACTTTGTCTTTCTGTTATTTCTCTTAAATTCTGTTCCACCATCCATTTACCCAAGCTTATAAGTATGTCATTCATTGTTTTTCTCTGTACCGCTTGCCTTCAATCCGTCCTGTGAGTATCAGATTCTCCAAGTCCTCTTTCCTCATTATGTCATGACCTGTTATCCTCTGTACCTCCTGCCGTCAATCCGTCCTGTGAGTAACAGATTCTCCAAGCCCTCTTTCCTCATTATGTCATGCCCTGTTATCCTCTGTGCCTCCTGCCTTCAATCGGTCCTGTGAGTAACAGATTCTCCAAGCCCTCTTTCCTCCTCATGTCATGCCCTTTTTTTTTTGTTTCCATTTTCTCCAAAACTTCGTCGTTGCTCACATGTTCGGTCTATGGTATCCTCAGCATACATTGGTCGGAAATAAGACGAGCATGGTTGTTTGAATATTAAAGCATATGTTAACAATAAAACGTTGTAATTTTATGATGAGAATTTTTAAAGATTGGTAAAAACATTAATACAAAACTAGCTGAATTTTATTTAAGTTCATTCATGTCTAAGATAACCGATTATTCTCATAGGGACCGATTAATGCCGCCCCCCAAGATTAATCTGTAAATACTGAGATGAGTAATTTCAGATTATTAGGCGGGGGTGTAAATGGGGAGCACCAGCTGCTGTAAGCAACCTCATACAATCAGAAATATGATTCGGCTTTAAATAACCCGCAAAGGGTTGATAAGCTGTAAAAAAGTGCCGATCAATCCGATTATCAACCGATTAATCGGTGTAATCCTATCTGAGAAGTATGTTTCGCACTTGTCCTTGGGCTTACGGCCATACTATGTTGAAACACAGGTTCCGCTAGGATCACTGAAGTTAAGCAACATCGAGCCTGGTCAGTACCTAGATGGATGACCGCTCGAGAATACCCGGTGCTGTAATCATGTACGTGTAGTGTAATGGATTTCGGAATTTTTAATGGGGGAGTCGAGTTCCAATTCCAGTTGGGTTAGTTCTATTCACTCATGCAAATATCATTGAGAAAGGCATTAATCCAATTCTTCTCCATTCAGCTATTGGTTAAAATTTGTATCACTAAATCATTATTATCTGAAAAAAATTCTTCCAATCTCAAAATATTTTCTGGCTTTAAATAACCTGAAAAGGGTTGATAAACCGTAGAAAACGAATCAATCAATCAGTTACTTGTACCAGTAGTCGACGATTGAACTTTAGTTAAGAGCTACGGTTTTGAATGCGAGCCTTCCAATATGGAAAATTTGGTGCTACACAATCTTTTGCTATTTCACTAATTTGCTTTTATCTGAGCAACTGTTGTCACGTGTTTAATGAAAGTAGGCAGTGTTTTAACCCATATCTACCTAGCGTTAGTTTAAACTGACGGATTCTGTTTTTTCCGATATATTGTGAGTTGTGACTATAGTATATTCCATGAAGTTGGTATTTTCTCGATTTGAAATGAAAACACTGGAATCTTGACTTTCCAAAATAATCGTTTTTGATTACAAAGTTTAAAGGAAAAGAAGAAGTCGTCAGTCTAAACTGACACTACGGAAATTACGACTCATCTTCTCAATAAACGACAGAGCCTCAACGAGAACTACTGATACTGCTGCTTCTTTTTCTTCTTCTTCTTCAACTTCAGCTTCAGCTTCTACTGTTTTCAATCCACCTAGTTGCAACTGCTTCGTCAACTCCTACTATCCGGACTTTATTGCTACCGCCAACATTACTGCTGCGACTACTACTATTACAACTGGAGAGTCAGGGGTGTAGTCGTTACCACCGTCGCCACCATCTTCAAATGTGTAGCAGTCGTTGTCGAGTCTCTCGTTCTTTCTCTCTCTAACACACATACACACACACTATTTTTGAATAGAGACGAATCGTCGCACCCCCGCTCTGTCTATCGGCTCATTTTCTCTTTTGGTAGTTTTTCGATGAACATTTCTTAAAACGTGGAAACTAAGGAAAACAAAAAAAGACGAAAACAAAAAGTGAGAAATCGTTTTTTATATATATATATATATACATATATATTTATATATATATTCTTTTTATAACATCGACAACCTCATCAGTGTTTTAGATAACTGAAACGTTTAACTTAAAACGTGATACGGATAGAAATACGAACAGTAATACCTACTGTCACTTTAGAAAAATCCAAACCCTTAAAAGAAAATTATCTATTCAGATCCTGTGCATATATATATATACACACACGTATATAAACATATTTAGAAACAAACAAACAAAAATATATAAAATTGATAAAACTACGCTCATCCCTCCAAAACGACTTTTCGCCGAAAATCAAAACGAGTACATAATTTGAATTTACTCACTTTTATTTCCCGGGCGTTTCTCTCTTGAACTATCTTTATTTGTGGTGGACCCCTTTTTCTTGTGGGAACAAGGACTTTTAATTCCGCTGAGCAAAGTGGTGCTCAGGGGAAAAGATTGAGAAAAACAGAACCCAAAGGAAATATTTATCCATGTCGCACATTTCCATGAATAGAAATCAAAACCTTCATGTCAACTAGAAGAAGAGACTGGCTTAGGAAGGTAGTTTAGTTGATCCTTCAGTTACGAAAATTTCAACCGCACCGTCGTCGTCCGAAGGATTTCACCACCAGCACCTTAAACATAAATTAGTCCTTTACTCTCACTGTCAATTAGATAATTTTCTTGGTGGTGACATAGATTTTAGAACGGACTAGCAAAAAAAAAAAAAAAAAAAAAAAAAAAAAAAAAACAAACGACGGTACGGCGGTTGTTTTATTTAGCTACTCACGAGTTCTTTTGTTTTTTTTAGAGGGTAGTTGTATTCTGTTCACAGTTGCCGCCGATATATAGTTAACGATTTCCTCATATTTTGTCATATTTAGTCGGAAACTGTTTTCCATTGGATTTTGTTAGATATGTCGTCACAACCAACTTCCAACACAGTTCTCATCAGTGTCGATGGAAGCTCCGAAGCCGACCATGCTTTAACTTGTAAGTATTACAACTTTTTTTTGGTTTTTAAATTTGTATTTTTAACTATTATTATTACAAATATTAGTAACTTGGGTTACCCGCTGGCGACAAGATGATCACATTTAAAATCTATATTGTTTGTCCATCTCCATTTATTTTATTAGAAACATATTCAGTTTAGAAAAGCAGTTATAAAAATGGCCTCAAAGGGTTCGCACGTTTCTGTTTACATACTATCTTTTCCTGTTGACAGAAACGATAGTTAAACATTTGTGACAAAGATGATTATTTTAATTTCATTCAAATTTTATCCACATGTATTACACAGTGTTACATCTGAAAATCCACATGTATTACACTAAATTACACAGTGTTACATCTGAAAATATTTCTAAAAAAAATTAAAAAGCTCTGAAGCTTTTTGAGATTTATTATGGAATAATTTCTCAAAAGTTCAATAAAATCTTCTAATTTGATTTTTTAGAGTAAAAAAAATATGAACGTTTACTTTTTTTGTTACCAAATATATTTTATGTTCAGTCGAAGGTAAGGATCGTCTTGGCTGTGTAGGAAGGGAATGCATTAATATCTTATTTCAAAATCGGTAAAATTGTGCTTGTGCTTGTATATTATACATTATGGTAGAAGCACATGTAATTCATTCAACTCATAACACAGGCAAATATGAAGTTGCCTATTACGTCTGCGCATACAAAGTCACTCGCAGACAATGTATAATAAACAAAAAAAAATAGCTCTTCTTGTCTAATATTAATTTAAAAAGTTTAAGTTGGTCCTGCACAAGGCCAAATTATGAGGACGATCCATATTTTAAAGCTAATCACCTTTCTTTTTATTATCATTATTAATATTTTAAAATTCTGTGTTGTGTATTTAAAAAAGTTTTCTTTCTTAGCACTCAGTACAACATGGAGACCATTGCTCCCTCCACGAAAATACACAATAATATTTCCGAATGTTTCGTCTGGCACAAGGTCATTTTAGTCAGCCACATGTAAAGACTATATACACATTAAAACTACGTGATTGATTATTATTGGGCGTTCTCTTTTTTCGTTTTTTTTTTTATAACATTTTATGGATTTCATGTGACTTACATGTTATTGATTTCTCGCCTGAATAAAGCCATAGTGATAGGGACACCTGGCCTGGTGAGGATCAAACTCGCTATCTAACTAAGCTTCGAACCACGGTTCTATGGTAGGCGTAGTTTTCGTCAGTAATATTCAATCAACAATGCATTTTGTATTGATATTTTATTGTCACCTGTCACAAGTCCTCACTTTTTTATGTCGTACCTCTTCACGACATAAGCGGACATGGCTCTCCACAACTTCGACTTTCGTATGGTCTTAGGAGTTTTTTTCCCCCTTGCTAAGACTCCTGCCCGAACCCGTTCCGCTATCCATTCATACAAACTAATCAGGTAGGTGATACGCTCCCTTCTTCCTACCTCTCTTGACCTCAATATGCCCCGTGAGGGTTAAGTTTTCCGAGTCCCCCCTTCATCATCATGCATATAAGTAATTTCAGCTGCATTTTCCTTATTCTGAGAAGAAGTATTCTTTTTGTTACCATTTTCTTTAAGACGATTCTGTTGTTTACTCGCTCCGTCCGTAAGTGTAATGAAAATTACATTTTTTATTCTTTTTCGCTTTTGTATTTAATACAAGCGAAGTCAGCATCTGATTTTAAATTGGGTCAACGGAAGATGCACTGAGCTGCTTCTCTGATGATAAAATATCTACTTCATCTATTTTCCTTCCTATTTAATAAAATCGCAATATTATATCGATTTTCTAAGCGTAGCTTAGATGTGGCACAAGGCCGAAAGTATGAGGGTACCCAGTGAAAATCGAACTCACTATTCAGTCGTGACTGCATTAGCGAGAAAAGCTTGCTATTACACCACGCAGCGGCTTAGATGTGGCACAAGGCCGAAAGTATGGGGAACTCACTGAGGATCGAACCCACTACTCAGTCGTAATTGTTCTAGCGAGATATGCTTGCTAACCATTACACCGCCTCGAGGTACCCAAATCTCTATATTATATGATCCTTTTAAAATATTTTTCATGCACACGTGTAATGTTTACCGTAATAGATATTTGCACGCAGTCGCTACTCAAGATTAATTGTTTTTTATGGTTTATCAACCTTTTGCAGCTTATTTAAAGCCAGAAAATATTTTAAGCAGTAAAAAATTTGGGGGAGATAATAATGATTTTTACTGATTAACCCATAGCTGGGGGTAGATAAGAGGTGACTTCCCAAGGGCATTTGCACGTAAACGAATATAACCACACCCGACTGGCATTGGAACTCGGCTCCCCGATTTCCAATTCTGAATTGTTATCCATTACAATACCAGCACATCTCATCTTACACCATCTGGTATTCCCAAATGGTCACCCAGTACCGACCAAGCTCGACGTTGCTTAACGTCAGTGATCGTACTAAAGAACCAGTGTTTCTATGTGATATGACCATAAGACCTTACATATAAGATATGTAAACTTAAAAAAAGTATGTAGATGTATGCATTTTATAAGTGTGTGCGTTTGTTTTTATTTGCTGAAGTTTTTGGGAAACATAATGAGGAAAGAAGGCTTGGAGAATTTAACACTCACGGTATTCATCGTAAGTGTTTTGAATAGGAATTTATCCCGTGTTACCTTTTTAGGATTGCGTTTCTAATGTCTTATCTTTTTCTTTCACTCTTAGTAGTCCCTTAGTGGCATTATCGCCTTACTTGGGGTGAATTAATAAAAAGAAAGAAACAAGAGAGCAAAGGAACGCAACGAGTAACAAGTTTATGCAAATGGATAGAAGAATAATTACCACACGTACAAAGAAGGGATTTTGAAAAGAGAAAACCAAAGAAGACAGGTAGATGTGGAGACTCGTTATCGTGAAGA